CTAGCCTCCATTTGAAAAGAATCCTGCCGCACTAACACAGAAAATGGTCTTCATCCTCCAACTCTCCCTCATCATCCTCCTCCTCTGCCTTTGTCGACTGCTGGCCTCGTAAAACAGCATTCAACCACCCACATCCACTCACCATTCTCCATAAGAAGAGCAGCACTGCTACCACCCACAGTCCTCTCTGAAATACCTGGTACAAATATGTTTGAAATGTGTGGTGATTTAATTTTCTGTTGTTGGTGCCTTCACTGTAGTGCTGTTTCTGTGTAACCAGGCTTAGAGCAGATGCCTATACTGTAGCGTTCATCTGAATGTCTTGAATGCATACCAGTGGAGTGAGGCATATCTGAGAATGCCTGGAGGACAGATATCCACCATATGGCTTTTTATAGAGCTATATGTTTAAAGTACAGGCAGGGGTTAGGGTTGGTATTATAGCTGAGGATAAGGTAAATATCGTGTGGTTGTACTGTCTTAACATTGTCTCTATATTGTGATAAAATTATAGGACAGTGAGGACTCTGGGACAGTGATCATTGTAATCTTGTCAATGACCAATCTGTCAGCTCTACTTCTTGGCCTGATTGCTATGTATACCTGTGTTTGTATGATTATTGTGGACTTAGGAAAGAAGAGACAGCAGTTTGATATTCCTCCATAGCAAGAAGGTGACTCCATCCGTCTGGCACCTGAGGACATTTCCCCGCAGCTGGTTGTTGGCATGCGTACTTGTATCAAAAATGTGTTTACCTCTGTTGTACTAAGTTGCTAAGGAAAGATTTATAGCATAATAGCTGTTATCGGTAATGAGCAGAGGATGTTGGACCCTGAAGAGACCTGATTCTAGGCCATGTTCGTGAGTCAGGATGAAGCAGTGCCAGTTCATCAGCTTTCTTTTTGGCTTCCATGTCTTTAATGATCAAAGTCAAATGGCTTTGGATGCAGAGTTTAAAACTTGGAAAGAGGGCTTGAGGATCCTGCTGTTACATGTCTAAAGAAACGTAATGCATCTTAACGAGAGAAGTTGTAGCTTTTGAATTTGTCACCACCAAAGTTGGCAGACAAACTGGCACCTAATACAAAAGAACAGATGTTTCCAATCAAAGTACAGGTGTTCACAACTAACTTGGTCATTGAGCAATATTTAAGATGTATTCATCATGACAGAAAATTTATGGGAAATTAGCAGTGACTGCAATAAAAAAAAAAAAGATGTTACAATATGTGACTCACTCACATAGTTGAATGCAGTTTCATTCCTTCATGTTCCTCTTCACGGAGTCAACTGCACTCTCGATTTCCATGACCAGAAATGAATCTGTCAAACCCAAAAATGTTGATGGCAGGGGGAGAGAATTTGCTTCACAATCGTCAGCCAGCTGCCAATAGAAGCAAATGTCTCTCTCGCTGTGTCATAAGGGAGAATGTGATGTTTTGCTTAGAGGCAGAATGGCCAAGAGTGAAGGAAGCCAAGGGTGCAAAGGCACACATGCATGCATGGAGCTTACTAATTACCATTTTCTAAACAGAGAGTTGGTTCCTAATGAACACTGTTGTAATTGTACCTAACATCTGTACAGATAAAATACAAATTGATACGTTATGATAAGGATTGCATTTTAATTAAATGTTGAGAAGAGCCTTTTGATGAGAAAGCATTCTGAGCATGATGTTATTGATAAGGTTCTTCCTTCAGCTGGTAAACAGTCTCTGTGATTTTTAAATGTGTACTATAGATGTGAAGCACTTTATGGAGCTGTCTTGTAGTGTTAAAGCTGGTTATTTTCTTAGATTTGATTAATTATTATCTTTAAGATTTACAATTGTACAGCATTGACACCTGTTGGCCAAAACCAAATAATTGAAGATTGGTTAATAAAAAAGTTTTATAATGAATCAATTAAATGCTCATATGTACTTGATGCATTGATTGACAATATTTTGATTTCTTGTTTGCCACTGAAGCACAATGTTCCGGTAAAGACTTATATCACAGCTACAATGTCACATATGGCTGCTGCTTTCATAATCTTTTCACAGATATATCCTAGTAAATATACAAAGTGCCCTCCTGCCCCTCCAGTCATCACAGGCCGAGCTAGAGAAACTAAATCCTTTTCTGATTTGTCCTTGTCTCCACATGACTCTTCTCAATGACACCCATCGAGACAGTATTCATGTTATTTTCTGAACAACTTCAGAGACGAGAATAAGTTTATGCTGGCTTCATAATTTCCATGCTCTGATCACAAAAGGACACTTGTTTGGGCTTCTTGTTTCTCAGTCATTTCCTTGTTGAGGGTTAAAGGGAGGAGTGGCTCTGTGGACTGTGGCGGCTGACAATCCCACATTGTGTGAACTAGTGCTGCTTCACAAAGGGCCCATTGTGCTGAGCAGTGGCCCGGGGAGAGGGGACTGGTTCTAGGCTAGGTGACAGCGAGGTGTGGGATCAGGGGGCCTGGGTCTGGGGGCTAGAGCCGCGATGACTGGCCCACAGTAGGGGCGTGTATTGGTGCTCAGTTGACACAGTGTTGGGACAGGGAGGGTGCACACGTGTGAGAGGAGTCCCGTGCTGCTTGCCACACGGCTCCAGTGCGTAACGTGTGTGTGTGTGTATATATAGTACTCCCGCACAACCACCACCTACTTCATATACAGTAAGCTCTCAAATCTCTCTCAGAGGTGAACAGCTTTATGAAAATTCAGTTTTTAATCATAGCTGTTGTCAGTCTCTGATTTATTCTCCATGTCCTAGAGAATCCGATGCTGTGATTATAAATCTGGGGGCTTAAGCTGCTTGTACAACTGTTCCCAGAATTTGAAATATTTTGCTGTTTATCCTCCTCTGACTCCAGCTCAAGGACAAGCCCACATGTGTGGTGTACTCTGGATTGGTAGGCCATCTGTCTGAGTAAACAAATCTAGAGTCGTAGTCCACAAACCCCCTTTTTTTCCTGCTGCACTGCAGTTCTCCTTGACCACCAGCCTGAGACTTAATCTTCCTTTTCTCACTCTCCACTGTTCCCAAACCCTCATTGTCTCTTCATGTATAAGAGTGACGGGGCTCTCAGGTCAAGCTGACGGCAGTCTCTCTGTCCAGTCTGAAGCAGTCCTAGGCCCTCGCCCAGCTGTCCCAAGGTCTGTTTGTCCGTCTGCCTGTCAGGCCCGGCTGTTGCCCTGGCCTCTCACCTTTTGTCAAGAGCCCTTTGGTGATAGATGATGACTTGATGGCATAAGAAGTTAAACCAAACATAATGGCCAACTGGGTCACTGCCTCTTTGTCACTCTTGTTTTACCATTTTACAGGAGAAATTGCAAATATTATACTACCTCAGATTGTTGTCTTCCTCTTATCCTAGTTCATCCAGCCTACTGTCCTCCTTGTTACAATTTGCTGTGCCCAATTTTGACTCCACTATCTGTTACAATATAGACGGTGAGTTGAGAATTAAAGTGACATTTAAGAGTGACGAAGTAAACAGGGCCTCTCATCTGACCTAAGTGTTGGATTATCACAAACTGTTAACCATTGACTTTTCTGTCCGCAAAAGAGGCCATCCACATAGTTCAATTGCTGTGTTGCTGACAGGCTATGGTTATGCTGCACAAATTGGATACTTGAGTTAGATTTATTTGGTCGCCAACTAATGCGAACATGATAGCTTTTAATTTTCTTTCCAGCTCTATCTCCTAATATATTCTGATCTGCTGAGGGCTATAATTTATCATCTGTGGCTACCTGGTACTTAAAGCTGGGAACTACTGTGGTATTTTGGTGTCTATAATTCTGCCTGTATGTTTTGTGCAGAGAAAGTAGCGCCCAAAAGCTGTTCAAACAGCTTACCCGTGCGCAGTGTGCTTGGTTATGCAGTGCTCATTTATTTCTTTGAACAAATATAAATCCCTCAGTCAACATAAGATTATCAAGGTTTCTCCAAAAGCTTGCAGAAGTCATTTGGAGGTCAGACTAAGCAAAAGTCAGTTTTCTGAACTAGTAACATTCGTGGTAATGTGTGTGCAAATATGTGCCTTCTTTATGTGCCATCTTTCTAATCTGTGTCTGCACAAGTGTTTTACTGACAAATGCACTTAGAAAAGCATCATTTTACAAAAAACTCTTGGAGCGATGTAGTGCAATGGACTATGAATAGATAATCATATCTGTTCCACGTTGAGCTAGTATGTCTCTATTCATTGTAAATGAGCCGTGCCTACATACAAAAGCACTTTGTGCTTACATAAACCTGTGTGTGAAACTGTAAGTCATTGTAAACAATGTAGGATTATCGTGGACGTCCTGTGGTCACGTTATTTATGGTTGACAGATGGCTTCCATGTCGGTGTGCATAGTTGGGTTTACACCTCACAGGTAGGCATCAGACAGATTAAACTCAACCTCTCCGCGAACCCATGAACTTGCACTGTTTATAAATGGAACAGACTGTCCTTTTTCTCTTTCTAGTGGTACGATATGCAACATGGCTGAACAATCCACATTGTGATGTATACAAAATAATGTGGGATACAAAATAATCCCACATCTTTAACAACTAAAAGTGCATCATTATTACTGTATTGATTATGGACTTTAGCCTTGATTGAGTGGTGACTATTAACCAAACACAGTAATGTCACGCTGGGTCCATCAGAGCTGTGAACAACTACCTAATTTCCCTGTATTAAATCACCCTAATTATTGCTGCAGCCACACTTTGTTCTACAAATTGAGCTAGTAAAATAAAAAGCAGCATATATGAGTCTTTAAAACGCTGCAGTACATATCACAAGAAACAAAATTATCAAAGTGAGCCCTAACAAGAACATTTGCCTGTGCACAGACTTGTTATATCAGTGTGTGTGGTGTGCCAAGCTTGGCATGAAAATGAATGCCGGGGTGGATTGTGTGAGAAGATGGACCATGTGGATGGATGGAGGCACGTCTATTCACTTCCACATTTAACACTTTATCTACGTGTCTCTTTTGTGTCCTACAGCCCAGCACTCTACCCCAGGGTACAATCAACATGAACCAGTGCTCCGACGTCATCGATGGAGAGTCCAGGACAGGCCAGAAGAACTCACTGTGCATCCTGACCCCTGAGAAAGAGCACTTCATACGGGCGGAGTGTAAAGAAATTATCAACGGGTGAGAACATAATAACCAGGAATGTTAGAGTAGGATGTACAAATAGACTCTCTGCTACTGTGTCTTTATATATAGATATATATAAGATAACTGTGGCTTCAGGTGTGCCGTACGGCTTGTATTGCTCTCTCTCTTTTGGTTTGAGTGGACATGGATGACAGAGACTTGGAGAAGGGAGAATATTTGTGTTCAGCCACCCCTGCTGCCAAAACTGCTCTGCCCCCTGCTGTTTCCTTTGGGCTGGGACTTGTAATCCACACTGCAGTGACAGTGCACATTCTTGAACTGTTTCCTCTCCCTGGCTCTCGAGCCCCTCTCCCTGTGTTCATAGACCCCATATGCCTGGACACAGATCACAATCTACAAGCTTTAAGCCTCATAATTCAGTTGTCTCTTGTGCCTGTCCTCTACTGCTGCACATTCAAAAGTGTGTTTCTGCACTCTCCTTCCCTGGCTGTAGCGTACATATTATGGCTATTCTTAGGGAAGTGTGACTCACAACACCCACTCTCTGTTATGCTACCTGCTCTGTCACTGTACCCCTCCCGCTCTCCTATCATCTGGCTTCCATGGGTTGGTTGTGGGCCATCACACAATCATATTAGCCCTTGCAAAGCTGCCAATAACTAACAGTGGTAAAATTTTAATTGAAATGTATTATTTTATATGTTTTTCCTGGTTATGTTAAGCTTCCCACAAATATCTTTGGACTCATTATATTACATTATGAAAACATTGCTGCGTGGGCACTTGTTCATATATAACTGGGTCACAGTAGGACACTTTATAGTGTAACACCCCACACCAAAGGCTTTCATTAGGAAAATATTTGATAATGCATGAGTGTTACTGCAATATCCAGATTATATTAGTTTGTTTTTGAGATCAAAAGTCCATATGAGTTTTAGTTATATTTTGTCAATGTCATTCTAATTTTTAGCTACATTTTTAGTAGACTAATGCGGCATTCAAACCAACTGCGAATTTTGTCCTCGTGACACTTTCCACGTGTGAGTACATTCACTGCAAGTGTTTACACACAACGCGAGGCAATTTTAACACGATAGCGTGAATAAACACAACTCGCCATTACTACAACTGTATGAACCCAAAGTAAACATTTTGCTGTGATTAAATAGCAGTAAACAGATTAAACTGATGCTGAAATAACTACATGATGCAACATATGAATTCATGCTTTGTCAGGTTTGTCAGCAAGACAGCAGGACAACAACTTCTAAAATGTTTTCTGAATGGAGTTTGTATCGATCAGGGCTATGCTATGCTAACTTGGTCACAATAAAGTACAATGATAGCTGGAATAAAGTTACAGACACATGTTTTCTGAACTCACCAGGTAGTTCAACCTCCTCACTTTCTTTTCTCCAAGTAATGTCAGTTTTGTCCGGTTTTTATATAAATATGAAGTCGTAGTCCGACAGAGCTAAGGATGCTAACAACAAAACTGGAACTGATGGATGTGCATGGAACCTAGCTGCTGAGAAGTTAAATCAACATTGTAATCCCAAAAACTAAAGTAAAAAGCTAATTTAATAAAAGCAGTTAACTCCGAGCTCTTCCCGCGAATAAATGGCGTAGTTGTCAGAGCAGATTCTGACCGACTACGGGTGTTTATTTGTCGAAAGGTTGCAGCGCTGCTCCCTGCTCCTCTCCCCCAAGTTTAGCAGCTCTCAGCCGGCCAGCAGACTTTCAATCGCCCGCTCTGCCCGGCCCTCTCCACATATCACTCTGAAGCCGTTGGTGACGTACGGACAATCTCAACACTGATAGGCTATTGAGACTCAGCGTCATGCGACTTTCTTCATTCTTTTGCGTTGCCCTCGCGTCGATGGCCCTGCCCCATTCGTGTCGCTTCGCACCACCTGGCAGGAAATCGCGGCTCTACGCGTCTTTGTATTGGTTTTGCGTGTCAACTCACTGCCCCAAACGCTCGCTTTGCTTTTGGTCTGAAAGCACCATAAAACTCTGGAGACTAGTTTTAGTCAATAAAAAACATTTTATTATTATTTTAGTCATCAATAGATACATTGCAAAACCTTGTTTATGACTTTGATAGAGGATATACTGTACATACAGTATATTTCCTTGTGTGGAAGTAGAATGATGGTGCTTCAGAGGAGTATAATGGCACAGCGGCATCGTTTTGTTTTTTTTAAGAAGTGTGAGAGTATTATTTGTGCTGTGTAGTTATTAATGTATTTTTGCTTTTCATGCACAATGCTTAACATTATCCACTCCCGCTATTTAGATAATGGTTTCCTCATAAATTGCCTTTTTAGTAAAACATAATATTGTTAATCATCACAAAGAGCAAAAATCAAACATAAATTATCAATGAAAATCAAATAGAACCATTCTGTCAAGCTTCAAGATGCTTTGTGTTGCCACTTAGGGGATTAGACAGTGACTAAATATTCTCTTTCACTGCATTAGTTCACTGTTTACAGAGTAAAGGGTGTTTTCTGTTTATGAACATGCTTGTCCTGGCAAGTATAATGGTTTATATTTCACTGTAGAGAACTTTATCCCAGTCATATATTGATCTGCCATGGGTGCTAGGTTTGTCTAGTCTGCATTTAGTGTCAAATAAACACATTTGACTGTTTCACTATTCGTAGGTGGCAGGAGGCTCTGACTGTATACCCCAGGACCAACAAGCAGAACCAGAAGAAAAAACGCAAGGTCGATCCACCCACTCACCAGGTAATGCACCTATTCACATACTCTATAGTGAAGTGTTTTTACCTTTCTCACACTGAACAAGGCTAAGAGTAGTAAGCAACCAAATTCCAATGGTCATGTTTTTGTGATATTTTTGCGATTTATTTATTTTTATCGATTTCTTTTTTGTATTGTGTCTGGATGTACTCTTGAATGTTGCATAAACCAGGGGACTCCTGTGCTTTTCATTCCATTCAACTACCAGCTGTTTTCCCCACAGAGAGAGAGATTGTTTTTCTACCATGATCAACGGTTTACTATATTCATATTTGAATTCTTGAGTCACATGATGTTACAGTCTCAATTGACGAAAAGACTGCATGCAGTGTTCATTGGTAAACAGTAGCAAAATAATTACAGTGTTAACATTTGATTGGATGGTGTCATAGGTGTTGTTAATTACAAGTTGTCCTAGTCATACTTGCGTTATGTGTCCAGCAATGTAGCTCTGGATTTATAGATGCAAAATCAACATTTACTTTTAATACAGTATTAATACAGGATCACCTGGGTAGAAGGTAGCAAACATTGGTGAGCTATCAAAATGTTTCCAAGCAAACAATAAAGGGCAGTGATGACAGATTGCCTGCTATTATAACATTCAGCAGTAACTTACAGTAACAGCAGGGTGACCATGATCCTCTCTCTTGTGAAATTGCTGGTGCACTCTGTTTCATTGTCATGTCGAGCAGCTGCTGTTTCACCTGCAATGCTTTGGCCCCCAGTCCTGCCTGTTCAGTTGTTAACCTTGTGTGCCTGATCAAAACAGATTAGTTTTCTCTTAAAAGGCATCACCAATGTTCCTTTATAAATGTGTATGAGTGCAGGAGTGTGCAACAGCTCAAAATGCTCAATAAGGAATGCGACAGTATTCTGTGAAATCACACGTTATATGAAGCAGAGGTGTTTCTGTTGTAAAATCATAACAAATGGAAAATCATCATACCGTCATTTCAGACTACCTCAAATCCACCCCTGTTTGTAAAATTACAATGCTGTGAATTGTGGGTAAAATCCTCAAATTATATTTACATTAAGTATAACTACACAAAGTTTATCTAGAAACCAAAAAAAACGTTTCTGTTGAACAGAGCAAGGTGAGCAGCGGCGTTCATGTGACCTTCATTAGAAACCCAGTGTCCATAGGGAATAAAAGTGCACTTTTCATGGGAGTGCAGTCAGATGTCTCCCTGGTAGGTAGAAATAAAAGAACAGGACAAGGTGTAAAGCTTTATTACCATAATAATAGTTATAATGACGAGATGAAATATAGGCATATCATATAATGATGTATAGACCACCCACTGTGGGTTACAGTTTCCCTACCTCCTTTTTGATGTGAGGCCAAATTTGTGGTGAATGCACACAATATTCTCTCTGAAGTTCATGGTTCCTCTAATGACTGTGTTCCGAATCAGGCTGTGACCTTGCTGGGCTTAATCCAACAGGCTCATTTGCAGAGGGACAGTAGAGAACACACACGACCTTTATTGTGACCTCTGTCGTTTGTCTATGTTGCTGAGAGAGAGAATTGTCTGTATTTCATTTTCATCTTTTTTTCCATATCATTGCCAAAATGTGCACATAACTAAAGACATTTAGGGGTAAGTTACTACACTTAGACAATATAGTGAGGCATATAGGGCAAGGTCAGCCACTGCTCTGTACATGTACTGGTCCTAATGTCTTAAGACTATGATTGTATTTTATATCAGTATTTAATTTCTGCTTAAACAACAACACTGGTGCAAGGAACAACAGTAATTCATCTTTTTTCTTGCATGTGTGTGAAATAAGTACTGCTTGAAATAACAGTCAAGTGGTCAATGCCAAGCCATATAATTAAGGCTGATGATGAAGGAAGTTATGTTTTCACTGTATGACTCTTGTCCGTTTCTCTCATTGTCTCTGGGCCATTCTGGGATATAAATGTGAGATAGATTTTCTACACCTCCACTTCCACCTGAAATCTCTCCTTCCACTTTTATTTAATTTACTGGAGACATAATGCTCTCAAACTGTTGTAAATACTTGAGCACAGTAACATGTTTGCCTTCTGGGTAGTGCCTCTACCGCCTCTAGCACCTCACCTTGTGAGTACAAAGAAAATATGATAGGAAACTTATTTGTGGCTCATATTATAACTGAAGGGAGTCTTAAAGGAGTTTTTACTTTTAGATTCTTGTGTTGGCTCGTAAGCAACAAAACACTTAATAATGTATAATAATGTACATGTAATGTAATGGTACTCCTCCATCTCCTTTTTCATACTTTTCCATGAATTTGGCCTAAAAGAGAAAAAACTGAACACCATCGTTTAAATAATACAGAAACTATGAAATCATTGAGACAGATTTTTGGTTCTACCTGCATTGATTACAATCAGCACGATATAGCGAGCATTAACATCAAAGGTTTTTTTTGATTGGCAGGGTGGAGTAACTCGAAGCGAGTGTTTTTCCACTGAAGACATGAATGGACACCCAGTGAGTTCAGCTTGGCCAAACCTTTTATCCAGCTTCACCCTCTGGCTTTGAAATCCCAGCCCTAATAAATTATATTAATTATAATCCCAATCGATCCAGGGGAAGGGTGAATGAAAAGGATTTGATTTTCCTTCTCTCTGATACTAAGAGTGATCCTTAGTAGAACAGCATGTTTTTGGTGATTAAAGTATGCTGGATGAAGAGTTGATGTTTGAGGTTTTTGCTTTGGAAATCTTGCTTTCTCTTCTTTTGAACTTGAGTCTGCTGATTGTAGTATGTACTGGTGACATCAAAGATTTAGTTTTTTGTATCCCTCAGTAATACAGGTGTGCTTGCCGTGAATGAACTCTTTGTTCTTTGTCAAGCTGTCAATCTCTTTTTCCTTTCTACGCACCATCCTTCTCTCTTCCTAGAATTACTAATTTTACCAATGATGAAAGCAATTTTTGCTTTGTCACTTTGATACTGGATTTACCTGACACATACACATAATGGGTCAAAAACAGACCAATGATGTGAAATCATGTGCCTGTGAACATTACTTCTCCAAACTAAAGCCATAGGAGATAACTGTTGTGCAGGAAGCTTATTTTCACTGAATCGCCCAACATCAAACAGACAGGAAGCAACTTCACATTTACTTTTCAGTATTTAATTCTTCTTTAATCTTTTTCCTTCTCGTATTCCTTTTTGTAGTCTCTCTGTGACCTTACCTCCCATTATGTCCCCCCCTCTTCCCATCCACTCCTTCCAACCCAAATCCCCACCCAGGAGCCTGGCCCTGCCAAGGTGACAGTGACCAGCAGCAGCAGCAGCAGGGGAAGCATCCCTTGCCTGCCCAGCAGTATTGCCAGCGCTGAGCGTGTTCCGATGAGCCGCGCCACTCTGTGGCAGGAGGAGAGCCGCTGGAGCAGGGCCACCATCCCCTGCAGCCGCAGTGCCTCCTGTATTAGCCAGCTGAGCCAGAGCCAGCTAGACTCCAGTATCACTACTCAAGACGGTGAGGACTAAGATGATGGCATGCACATTCTTCAAAAACCTGTATAAATGCTTCAGCTGTTGTCACTGTAAGATAAGAAAAGCTAGGTCACAGCAACATACAGGTGAAACTCGAAAAATTAGCATATCGTGCAAAAGTTCATTTATTTCAGTAATTCAACTTAAAAGGTGAAACTAATATATTATATAGACTCATTACATGCAAAGTGAGATATTTCAAGCCTTTATTTGATATAATTTTGATGATTATGGCTTACAGTTTATGAAAATCCCAAATTCAAAATCTCAGAAAATTAGAATATTGTGAAAAGGTTCAGTATTGTAGGCTCACAGTGTCACACTCTAATCAGCTAATTAATCCAAAACACCTGCAAAGGGTTCCTGAGCCTTTAATTGGTCTCTCAGTCTGGTTCAGTGGAATTCACAATCATGGGGAAGACTGCTGACCTGACAGTTGTGCAGAAAACCATCATTGACACCCTCCATAAGGAGGGAAAGCCTCAAAAGGTAACTGCAAAAGAAGCTGGTTGTTCTCAAAGTGCTGTATCAAGGCACATTAATGGAAAGTTAAGTGGAAGGGAAAAGTGTGGAAGAAAAAGGTGCACAAGCAGCAGGGATAACCGTAGCCTGGAGAGGATTGTCAGGTAAAGCTCATTCAAATGTGTGGGGGAGCTTCACAAGGAGTGGACTGAGGCTGGAGTTACTGCATCAAGAGCCACGACACACAGACGGGTTCTGGACATGGGCTTCAAATGTCGTATTCCTCTTGTCAGCTGCTCCTGAACAACAAACAACGTCAGAAGCGTCTTACCTGGGCTAAAGAAAAAAGAACTGGTCTGTTTCTCAGTGGTCCAAAGTCCTCTCTTCTGATGAGAGCAAATTTTGCATCTCATTTGGAAACCAAGGTCCCAGAGTCTGGAGGAAGAATGGAGAGGCACACAATCCAAGATGCTTGAAGTCCAGTGTGACGTTTCCACAGTCTGTTGGTTTGGGGAGCCATGTCATCTGCTGGTGTTGGTCCACTGTGCTTTATTAAGTCCAGAGTCAGCGGAGCCGTCTACCAGGACATTTTAGAGCACTTTATGCTTCCTTCAATAGACGAGCTTAATGGAGATGCTGACTTCATTTTCCAGCAGGACTTGGCACCTGCCCACACTGCCAAAAGTACCAAAACCTGGTTCAATGACCATGGCATTACTGTGCTTGATTGGCCAGCAAACTCACCTGACCTGAACCCCGTAGAGAATCTATGGGGCATTGCCAAGAGAAAGATGAAAGACATGAGACCGAACAATGCAGAAGATCTGAAGGCCGCTATTGAAGCATCCTGGTCTTCCATAACACCTCAGTAGTGCCACAGGCTGATAGCATCCATGCCGCATTGAGGCAGTAATTCATGCAAAAGGGGCCCAAACCAAGTACTGAGTACATATGCATGATTATACTTTTCAGAGGGCTGACATTTCTGTATTTAAAATCCTTTTTTTTTTTCTCATTTATTTCATGTAATATTCTAATTTTCTGAGATTTTGAATTTGGGGTTTTCATAAGCTGTATACAATAATCATCGAAATTATATCAAATAAAGGCTTGAAATATCTCACTTTGCATGTAGTGAGTCTATAATATATTAGTTTCACCTTTTAAGTTGAATTACTTAAATAAATGAACTTTTGCAAGATATGCTAATTTTTCGAGTTTCACCTGTACATACAGAAAAGCATCGTCACATGTAATGTTTTCATCCTGATGAATAATCTGCTTTTACTTGGGCTTAAGCATAAGCTTTTTTGGCACTTACTCTTCTGTCAGCCTGATCATCAGCTGTTTGGGGGGAAGAAGAGCGTAACTATTTTGACAAGTCACTTTTCTTTTTAGTATACAACAGATATGCAATGTATGTTCACATATTTAGACTATATACAGACTGGGGTGTTTCATATTAGTGACACTGTGTCCTTGTTTCAGATGGCAGCACCATGAGCACTGGACGTAAGGTACGAGTGGAGAGTGGTTACTTCTCCCTGGAGAAGACCAAGTCGGAGCCTTCTCCACAGTCTGCATCGCACTCTCAGCCACTTCCGCCACCGCAGAATCTGCCCCTGTCCTCTTCAGCATCCTCCTCCTCTTTAGGAGCTCTCAGTCCCAGGTACAGCTCTGAGTCAGAACCCCAGATTTCCCCATATCAACCGTCCCAAGATCCTCTTCCTTCTCCAGGTGCACTTATTTCCCCCAGCTACTCCACCATCAGCTCCTCTCAGAGCTCACTGGACTCCGAACCCAGCGGGACTACACTCACCTGGGAGGGATACGGTGGTGGAGGAAGCACTGGTAGTGTCAGTGGTGGAGGAGGCAGAGTGGGCCGTTCTGGCAGGGAGTATGCAGCGCTGTCTGATGTGCCACGTGCTCGCAGACTGAATTACCGCGAAGCCTTCCGCTCAGAGAAAAAGCGACAAGAGCTGAGGGAACGGACACGGAGTCCTGGCAGAGAGGAGGTGGCTCGGCTGTTTGGGGAGGAGCGCAGGTAAGGGGTTATGGATAAGTGTCATGACCAGTACGCTGCAAAAAAAGATTCTTAAGAGACATTTTAAGTTTCTTGCACCTGCTTTCTGATAAATCGAATAACTGCTGAACCCATGTCACATAGCAGAAACATACATGCAGATTCACTTGGGATAAAAAAGGCAGCCACACATGATTAATAATCATTAATGCACCACTGGTTGTTAGCCCTTGGCATAGCCTTAAAGCATATTGATGGAATGCCAAGTAATCTATTATGTGCATAGCATTCAGCATTTTAGTTTGCAGCACCACCCTGTGGCTGCTGTCTTCAAGGGTCTCCTAACTTTCTGAGCTCACCAGTGGTTTGCCATTAATGATTTGGGAGAATGCATGTGTTACTTTCTTTTCTATAATCTCTACCTTTTTGCTCTTGCTACTTTGCTAGTTTGTTTTGTTGTTTCGATCTTTTCCAGGGGCTTCTGAACAGAGCTTCTCAGACCTAATGCAACCAACCCTTCCACCCCTGTCCCAATGCTGTTCCCTCCTGGTCACCGCTGATTCCTGCTTTCTGTCATTTCATCTCTGCACTGCCTGGGAGCATTTACATACACTTTCATATATACTTGAATTACTGTATGTACTGTGCATACTCAAACATGCTGATGGTTGGTACCGGTAGTGGGTTTACATGCAGTTTAACCTCTCCTCCTTTCTGATGCGCACACACACACACACACACACACACACACACACACACACACACACACACACACACACACACACACACACACACACACACACACAAACAAGTGAAGTGCCTTAAGGTAACGCCGACTGTGATGCCATTGCTGCTACTTCTGCAGTTTGTTTAATCCACCACCCTAGTCATTTTCCTTTTCTTCCAAAGTTTAATCTTTCATCATATAACACTACCCTTTATTCTTTGATATCTCGCTGGATTGTTCTCTTTAGAGATATTATATTAGATGCCTTGTGTTGCACATTGTTGTCTATGAAAGGGACTTTGAGTCTGGAATGATGTCCAAAGTCAAACTTCCTACATGAAACTAGTTTTGTCCATTACAGAAATTGATTTTGGTTCAAATTTGCTTTCATATCATGCTTTGGTCTTGTTTTTAAGCTGATTCTTCCACCATTTGAAGATGATGTGCATAATTATGTTTTTCAAGATTTATTTGAATGTTTTCTAGTGTTCTGCAAAATGTAATTTTAAAAAAATTATCAAGATGTTTAATTCATTGTCAGGCAAGTGAGTGAAGTAGCGTATATGCTGTGTATTGAGGACACGTGTCAAAAGAATGGTCTTTTTTTGTGTCTCTTAGGCGTTCTCAAATCATCGGCCGGTTCGAGGAGGGTCCGCATGAGGAGCGCATGGACACAGGCAGCTCCAATGAGCCCTCTGCTAACACCACGCTAATCCAGAGACAAGGCCGCAGCGAAAGACGCTATCTGGCAAACAAACATGTATGCTAGTGTCGTCGTTATTAATAACAACACAAATAAATGACAGTTGGACATAATATACTTTGAAAGGGAATTATTTCTAATACCAATTTTATATTCGAAGGAGATGTCACTGGATGCGGGAAAGGACCGTTCAGTCCCTGATGTGTCCAGCTCCACTTTTGCTAATTTAAGAAGAGCCAAGTCACTGGACCGCAGAGTCACGGAGTCCTCAATGACTGTGAGTACTTCTAAAGTGTAGGGGTATTAACCAGTGGACTACAAAATCATTTCAGTCCCGTTAAATGGCTTTGTGATACAATAATGAGATAAGGATTTAATCCCTCAACACCTTCCCACCATTAAACTGCCATTTGTGTTCAATAAAGCATCAGGCCAATCTAGAAGCACTGCAGCAGAGATTGAACCTATAATGCTGCAGTGGTGTAGAGTGCTTTGTTTTTTTGTTTTTTCTCCTTCTGCACCACCTAAATGCCCAAAGGGGTAGGGTTATCCAAAAAAACATGTGTTTATGGCAGCAAGTAATCATTAAATTAAACAACAACTATGCCTGTAATCAGAAACAGTTTTGTTGCCAAATAGCTTTTCACACACAAGGAATTTGCCTTGGTATTTTAGTGTTGTAGTGGTAAGTTGTGTGTTTAAAGGTGAAGAGGATGGAATGTGTATTGACCAAGTAATGTGCAAATGTTCACATTATAAAGAATAGGTATTGTATTTAAATAAAGATATGCAAGATCAGTTGGACTTTTTGTTCAGGCACCATATGTTTGCATGGCATGTATGTTTTTGTAATGCGCACTTCTCAGGAAAATTTATGTATGTACTGGTCAGCCATAAAATCACTGTTCATAATTTAACTTCAATTACACATGCACCCAAACACCACTGAGACTTAAAGTTAAAGTAGGCCTGAAGTTGCTTCAGTTTGCGCTGGAATCTTACTAAGGTCTGACAAGTTGCTACTGATCTGAGGCCTGTTGAGAGAGTGCTGAAGGGATGATCCGGTCAGTGTCTGGTTGATCTCTCTGGCTGAGCTGCAGCTGCCAGAACCCCCGCCCACTCAAAATTACACACACACATTCATGTGCACACCACTGCCGCCACTGCTACTGATGATTATAAATAGTCAGCACAGAAGCAGTCTTGTGTATGTGCCTGGGACAGACGGAAAGAAACAGATTGTCAACATATGAAGTGAAGGCAGTTAGCCATCAAAATGACTCTATGCCAGACGGTGACACCACACCTGATGAAGCTCAACAGAAACAAGGTATTGTTGAGTGAGCAGAAGCCAGGTTTTGGACATAATGATTTCTTTTCAAGTCTATAAACAGACTTGAGCTTGGTTTCAATGTGCAGCAGTTTGTGTTTCACAGGGAAAGTCCAGCTCCCGCCAGTCGTTTCTTTAGCTGGAGCTTCGTAATGGGCACGTATACTTCTTGAGCTGAGGTAGTAACATAAATGTAAACAAATGCATATAAATACAATAGTGTTTAGGGAAACGTCAAATATATATTCTGATTGCACTCACTTAATGATCACTTCTAATAAAGTCACAAATTAGTTAAATGATTCAATGGTTTTGCTTTTTTGTGTTAATGTTTAATTGAATGTTATTGAGTTTTAATAAGTTGTTGCATCACATAATATCACATCACTCTGATCTGTCTTAATTGCAGCCAGATCTGCTGAACTTCAAAAAAGGATGGATGACAAAGCTGTACGAAGATGGAATGGTAATTTCTTGTCATTAGTAGGATTAAATGGCCATCTGATTCTCTCCCCTACTGGATAAGATCATGTTATACTGATAGAGGACTGGTGAAATCCACTTAATGCTGTCTTTTTTCCCCTTAGTGGAAGAAACACTGGTTTGTCCTGACAGATCAGAGTTTGAGGTACTACAAAGACTCAATAGCCGAGGAGGTAAAACTTCAAAAAGTCTTCAAGAGACTGTGCTGTTTTTGACCATTATATGAATATAATGTAATTCACAAACATTGTGTTGTTGTTGTTGTTGTTTTTTTTTTTAAACTTTTTACCCTTAGGCTTCAGAACTGGATGGTGAGATTGATCTTTCTACATGTTATGATGTCAAAGAGTTCCCAGTCCAGAGGAATTACGGTTTCCAAATCCTGGTGAGTGTTTATTCATCTTGTCATCAATTGTCCTGCGTCATTAATCACCAGTGAAGATGAATCTCATTGTCTACACACTTAAGCTCTGCTGTCTCCTGACAGTCTATAAACAGCCTAGGACACCATGTGGTGCAACTTTAGGTATCAGGTTTTGCCATTTCTCTCTCTGAAATGAGTCTTTGTCTGTCATGACGGATGTCACTTGACTTGTCATCTCTCCGTGAGAGGATGACATCATAGTGGTCTAAATCTGCTACAGCCGTTGCCAGCCCTGCGTGACTCTCTGAACCCATGTAGCCTTCATTCTGCACAATATGTTTACCTTGCTTTCAAAAGCCCCGTCCTGAGCCATATTTGCTCAATAACACTCAGGTTTTAAAAACATTTATGCTTTTGGTAGTTTTACTCTGAACCGAACCGTAATTGCATAATGCTTGTGAAGTTCTATGGATCCTGCTGCAAACCCTATGACAGAATACTTTCGTCATTTAATCCTTTGACCATTAAACATTTTTAGCACTTGTTGCTGGCAAAATACTTACTGGACACTTATAGTTGCAATGCAATGCATTCGTTATCCATTGGATGTCAGTGGGGTTTTGTTCCTGCTACATATAGACTTATACTTGTCATACTAATCCTATATGAGGAGAACGGTAGCTACAAGGTCATTTCTTTTGTTTACATTTTGCTTGAAGACACTCCCTCCGCTATTTTCTGGAGGAAGTCAGAAATAGAGTTGTCAAGGGGATCGTTGTCTCTTTGGCTGAGAACAACATGGGTTTGATGTCGAGAAATTAATAACTCCAGTATTTATGTCCACTCTCTCTGCTCCATGGTCAGACTGGAAGGGGCTGTTGTTCTGTCATTGCAACTAAATGACTGAAATACAGTACCTTGTTTCTTAAAACCCATTACTGTATTCTTAGAATCATAGATAAATAACTTTGTTCTTGTGGAAATCACTTAACTTCCACTAGATGTCACTCTATATAAATAAAATGGATTGCATGCACAGTAAAGCTGAGTTATAAGGCCATTGAATGTAGGATACCGAACAGTCTTTAACAGTATAGGGTCTTAAGAAGGCAGGTGTCAACTAAGTGTAATATTGTGTAATTATATATGTCACAGTGCTTTAACGCATTCAAAAGCCCAAGGTTATTAACATTAAATGGTATTTGTAAAAACATCAACAACATTTTTTTTAAACTACAGCAGTCCAACACAAATGTTGCTTATGGTAGTCTATTCAGTTTATCTTCAGTTCAGCTGAACATTGACTTTTTGATGTAGCAATACACATTGAACATCGAACAGTTAGTTATATGTAAACCCCTAAAAGCACAAGTTTCACACCTATTCTGTACTGTACTCAAGCTAAATAAATTTGTGACAAAGCAACAGTGCTAGTGCATCGGGTGTCCAGGACAACAGCAGCTACATATTGTTTTCCACATAAAATAAATGGTTTATAATCAGATCTTCCTCGGTTTTAACTCTGCATTTTGACATTATTTTGTGGCGGGGGTGCAGCAATCGTAGAGGAAAAAATCTAGCATATCACAGGTAGCAGAGCCCCATGTAGATTTGATTACAGCAAATTTGAATGTATTGCATGCTAAACAGAAACTTCCTCCTTTGCGTGTGTCACTAGTGTAGATGGTGTTAACACTGTGGGTGTAGTAGCCTAAAAATACATATCCTTCTTCTCAGCTTTGTGTGTGTGGTGCTTACAAGCTTTCAATATGTGAGCTCAATGTTGTTTAACAGCACAGCAGTGAAAGGGGGGTGAGATGCTAAAGATGTGTTGCCTCATTTCACAGTTGTTTTCCACTATTGTTCTACTGCTGATAAAACACCAGTCTGAGTAGCGTGACATGACAATGAAGAGCGAATGTAGATTGTAACATGGTTCTTTCACTCAAAATGTGCTCCTGTATAATGCAGTAAATGGACATTTGCTGACCACCTCAGTAAAAGAGCAACAAATTAGTCTGTCAACCATCAACAATTTTTATTTGAGACAAAGACATGTGCTTAGATTATTTTTTTTTTTGTGAGTGTCAAATAGGTATTTTAATCGTCATGTTGTCTCGTCCCTGTCAGTTATTTAAATGAAATACCTGTTTGCTTTCAGTGTAAAGAGGGAGCTTGCACCCTGTCAGCCATGACCTCTGGAATCCGCCGCAACTGGATTCAGGCCATTATGAAGAATGTGCGACCCACGATTGCCCCCGATGTCACTCGGTAATACACAGAGGATTAACACCTTACACACTGGCAGATATAACAACTACTTTTCTCACTTTTTTTTTTTCATCTTAATCCCTCTCTCCTCCTCACCCTCTCTTTCCTTTCTTTCTCTTCCTCCCTCAACCGGTATTTTCAACCTGCTTCCAGGAAAAACATCTCTCTGAAACTATCCGTTCTGAAGCCCAGGTTGGAGTGCTTGTGTGTTGAATATCTCCCCGACCTCGAACAGTGATGTTATTGCTCAGCAATGCCAGCCCCAGCGTGTTTGTCATCCCACCCTGTGTCATGTGATTGTTGAGTAATGTCTCCCTTTCAGTTGTGCCACTGTAGAGACACACACTACAATCACATCACCATACCAGAATAACGTGCTGTTGATCAACAAACTGATTTTAATGATCATCGTAATGTGATTGTCCACTCAGTAACTTCTTGAAATGGTAATGGAACAACAACAAAGCAGAGGATATTCTTTTCTGGAACATTTAACCTCAGGATTTTTAACTATCTAAACATTTATTTTTTGTGTTTTTAAAAGCGGAGTATTGCCTTTCAGGTGGCTCATCACATGTGATACTGTATCCAGGCTCTGACCCTCATTTACTGAGTCACAGACCTTACTCTGCCTGTGTGTCTCTTAGGCAGCTCTCTCCAAGGGGAGAATGTGTGATATTTTTGGTATTTCTGCATGGACGCCTCACAGACACCTCTTTCTCATTCTTGAGCTCTGTCCCTTCTCATTTTCCCCTTACTCAAATTTCCTGACACCTTCACACAACGTGGTGAAAATAGATTATTCCGTCAGGTCGCTTTTTTTAAAAGATGTTCTGCCCCTTAACGCTACAAGTGCCAGTCAGTGTGCAAACACATTCTTCACATTAAACTACAATACAGATGCATTAATATAGTAGCTAAAGGTAGGCATCTGCCATCAGGCTTACCTCAGATTGTGACTGTGAACAACAAAGCTGCTTTCAGCCTAATGCTGTGTGCCATGTAAACATTTTGATGTTGATGCTTTGTCTTTGACATATTTCACTGAGTTTTACGATGCTTTTAATGCACAATTAAATGATGTTGCTTTGCCAGAAATGTATGCTTTGTTTGTCCTGCAAGGCTTTATGTAATAGCATTGTAGCTTGAGCTGTATATGTAGCTATGAGCTGTAAATGTAAAAAATCATCATTGTGCTCTATTAAAGCCATCTTATACATCTTTTTTTTTATATTTTGTGTTTCTGTTCTCTCAGATCCCTCCATGACGAGAAGGTAAAAGCCCAAGTGATGCTGGAACCGTTTCCACAGGCCACACCTGAGCCAATCCCCAGTCCTGAGGCCCCCAAGTCTGATGTCCACAGACAGCCAGCTGGCAACAATGCCTCTGCCCCTCCCTCTGAGCCTCGTAAAAGCAGAGTTCGTGAGCGCAGACGAGAGGGTCGCTCCAAGACTTTTGACTGGTCTGAGTTCAAAATGGAACAGACAGAAAAGCCTGTGAAGGAACGAGCAGACACAGTCGACCTCAGCTCATCATTCTCCACAACATCCTCTTATTGCTCTCCCTCCTCTTCCACTTCCTCGTTAGCGTCCTCTCCTGTCTCTACCTCTTCCCTCCAAACCTCTTCTGTGTCGGGTGCTCACCAACCCTCTATGACAGAAGATGCAGAAAAGAAGAATGGAAGGAGGGGTATTACTCCACATAGCACAACCAGTGCAACCCACATGCCAAATACTGTTAGTGTTACTATGACTTCCACGCTAAACACTGCACCACAGGTACAGCCATTGATACCTGAATGCCAAGAGCAAGGAAAGATGGAAGTAGACCACCCTACAGCCATGCATACTGCAAGTGTAGATAAAAAGGACAACAGAACCTCAGATGTCCATGAAGAGATTGAGCACCGATGGCATCAGGTAGAGACAACACCGTTAAGGGAAGAGAAGCAAGTTCCCATCAGCACAGCTTTAGGGAACTCTGGTGACAGATTGCCTGCAAATGAGCTTGCTGCACTGCTAGACAAAGAGGTGTGTTTCTTTTAATGTGGTCATATACATATTTATGGGATCAGAGCATCCGGTACGATTCATTCATATTTTCTTCCATTTCTTTCTTTGTTCAGTTGGGACAGAAGCAGAAAGAGCTGGACCAACTACAGAAGCAAAACAGTGTTTTAAAAGAGCAGTTGGAGGATGCGCTAGGGAGAGAACAAAGTGCCAGAGAGGGCTATGTACTGCAGGTACTACACTCACCATCCATAATGCAGGATTAGTAGAAATAATGTTCTAAATTTGACACCATGTACAAATAGCATTGCAACATGAATTTTGACAAACTATTTTGAGTATTAAAATGTTTAGAATGGTAAGGTTTGCAAGATAGTATACATGTTCTGGTCAAACATGTGGTGCACTAATTGTTTACTGTACCAAATTACTATGTAGATTGTATTTTTGAAATACAGTCTACTGGCTCATGATGGAGCAGATTTATGTGTGCCTACTGTAACTTGTATAAAATTGTACTAACAGGTGTGGGTGCTTTTTCTCTGAAACTGATACGCATGGTTGTGGTGGTCTTAGCATGAGTTTTCACTAACTGTTTATGGAGTTTCACATCTCCTGGGAAAATAATTGATTTGATCTGATATGCTAAAGGTAAGAAACTTGATCCAGAAGCCTTACGCTGTGCTTTTTCTCTCTGTTCATTTGTGCTTTGTCTGTGTGTCCTTTCCAAGCTTGATTTCGGCATGCTTTGTGGTGTTTCAGTATTGCATACTTTAACAAATGGCTTTTTTACATTGTGCAGTTTAAAGTTAAATAGTTAACTTATCACAGATCCAGAACATCATGGTGTTGTATCACATCACATTTACTTTGCAAAAATTCATTAGTTGGTCTGTTTTTTTTTTTTTTATTTAAAATCATCTTTTTACTGTATTGTTTGTGGGGGTTTTTTTGTTTGAGGAAGGGGCGGGGTAATAATTTAAACCTTTAAATTTCCAAGTCACATCTGAAAAAGCACAGTGGAAGCTTGGGGGGAAAAACACTTGTCAAAAGAAAGTTGATATCAAGAAAGGAGAAAACGTATTTTTCCTGGTAACCCCGAGATGTGGTTCTCCGAATGTATGGTAAGGGAAGTAGGCTGATGTCATTAATGAAACTGTCTCGTAAATTTTTTTCAAGAGTGCAACACCCTCTTCCTCATCACCGCGCAGAGTGCCATGGCAACACTTGCACACGCTTAATCAAGATTTGCAGGGTGAGTTGGAAGCCCAAAAGCGCAAGCAGGACCTTGCTCAGCAGCAAATTCGGACACTAAAGAGAAGCTACACAGAAGCCCAGGATGCTGTAGACCGCCATGAGGCTGATATTCAGGCTCTGCAGGCCAAACTAGCGTCTGCAATGGCTGAAATCTTGGCTAGTGAACAGGCAGTGGCAAGAATGCGAAATGAGCTCAAGTTAGAACAGGAGCGTTCAAAGGAACAAGACCTGGAATATGGCCGTAATGAGACCACCCTACGTGCCCAGCTAAAGGACAGTGAAGATAGACTCCGGGAAGTAGAGGCCAGCCTCTTAGAGAGAAACCAGGCCCTTAGGCACCTGGAGCGCCAACAGGCCCTGCAACGAGATCACGTGAGAGAGATACAGAGGCTGCAGGAGAGGCTCCAAGAAGTGACTGCTCGGCTAAGTGCTACTGAAGAGGGTCAGGCACTGAAGGAGGAGCGCCTGAGGAAGGAGCAGCATAGCCTGCAAGAGAGTCATGAGAGGGAAAGACAGAATCTGTGTAGAAGATTAGCTGAGGCTGAAACTGCACAGAAGGAGATGGAGGACAGACTGATGGAGGCTGAGCAGCAAGTAGAAGCCCTGTTAAGAGGTAGGCGGGCCTCAGGAGGAAAAGAATGCAGGGAGGAAGTGCTGAAGTTGCAAGAGGAGCTGGCTCAGAAGATTGACACGGTTGAGTCACTGAGGGAGAGTGTGCGTAGGCTAGAAGAAGAGAAAAGCCATCTCACTTGCCGCTGTCAGGAGCTTCTTAACCAGATTGCAGAAGCAGACCGTGAGGTGAATAAGCTTCGCAATCGTCTTGAAACGGAAGAGGCTGATTACTATACACTGGAGCACTCATATGAGAGGGCTACCCAAGAATTTCAGAAAATGAGCCAGTTCCTTAGAGAAAAAGAGGAAGAGATCCGGCAGACTAAGGAAATGTATGAAAGGCTGGTGGAACGCAAGGAAGAGGACTTGAAAGAGGCCCTTGTTAAAATGACTGCACTTGGCAACAGCTTGGAGGAAACCGAACAGAAGTTGCAAGCTAAGGAAGAGCTTCTTTGTCAAATGAGTCAAAGTCTCTTAGATAAGGTTGAGCCCTGTAGTGCTGAAAAGGATCTGCAAGCCAAGCTTGTGGTTGCAGAGGACCGCATAGCCGAGCTAGAGCAGCATCTCAATGCCCTACAGCTGGGCTATGCTGACCTACGCATGGAAAGGCATCAAATTCCACAACAGAGCAAGAAGGGCAGGCTTAAAACATCAGCCTCCTCCCCAAACCCAGAGCTCCCACTTTCCTTTGCAAGTACATCAAAGACAGAGAACTCCCCGTATGATAAGGAGTCTCAAGCTAAGAGACCAAGGATACGTTTTTCTAGTATTCAGTGCCAAAAATACATGAATCTAGAGGGCCTGGATACTAGCCCTGTGAGCAGTACCTTTGCAGACACAAGACAAAACCTTAACCAGGATGTAAATGAAGACATCCATCTAAGTGAAGGAAATATCTCCCCTGATATCACATTTCCTCACAGTAGTGACCCAGAGAAGTTCATCTCTATCATACATGCCCTAGAGACTAAACTGCTGGCCACAGAGGATAAACTAAGAAACCTGACACAGAATCTAGAAGATCAACGATCTATCCATGCAGAAGACATGTCCAAGATTGATCTAAAGTTGAAAAAAGCAAAGTCTAACCCTGATAAAGAGTTTAGTTGTGGAAGTGGGATACAGAGTAATGCTGCCAATAAGCATTATGCCAAGGCCCTGGTGTGTGTTGAAAATAGTCGAGAGAAAGTCAGGGCTATTCTCAGTGGCTCTCATGATGCCGCTGATTCACAGCTGCACTCATTGTCAGAGATAGAGAATGATTTGTTCAACGCATCACTGTACATTCAACAAGGACAAAAGACATTGGAAGAGCAATCACCAGTTGTCCATCAAAATCAAACCCAAGAGTCTCTAGATAAAGAAGCTCTGCACCTCTTTGCCAAAACTCTGTCTTTTGAGGCAGTAGTTTTGAACAAGATGGCTTTGTTAATACAGACTTCAAAATCTGACCTTCTTCAAGCTCTTGCAGAGATATGGGAAGACATAGAGAACATTAAAAGGAGTGACAAAGATTCCTTGGCTGTAGTTTATGCTGATGTCTTGACCAGGAAGTTGATGTTGGAGAGTGCATTCTGGAAAGAATTGGAGAAAGCTGAGACAGATGTTGCTAAATCCAAAGAGAGCAGTGTTTCAGCTGATGCAGATGTTGATGCCACTGTTATCTTTAACACCTCCATTAAAGCAGAACTAGCCTACTCGATTCAAAACCTTAAACAATGCTATGAAGAGAAATTCAAAATACTGAAAAGGGAGTTGACTGAAGCCCGTAGTAACCTAAATCAAAGGGAGATTGCTTTGAAAGCAATTATTGATGCTTCCAAAAGGCCTGATTTGAAAAATGTAATAAAAGAAGTAAAAAATAACTTTGGGTTTAATAAACAAAGGTTAGCTGACATTCACCCCCCTGAACTTGCGCCTTACATGGAGCAGATTGAAATGGAAGAGGCTAGAGACTTGGCTGAGGAAATTGTAGACAGACACTTAGCAGGAGAAATGCCTTCCTGTGGTGTTGACCCTGAATCACTGCAAAATGCACATGACATCCTGGCTAATGAGCTTCAAAGACAAGCAACAATCCTCCATAAGTATGCTCAAGAGTTAGAAAGTGGTGGAAACCATCCTGGTCTGGCTAAAATGATCCACACTCTTCTAGGACACCAAACTTCATATAGTTTCACAAGTACTTCTCTTTGTATGCGTGAAGCCCTAACTCAGGCTCAAGTGGCTTATGTGGCATGCAGGTTACGGGCCATGCACGAACAAGACTTGGGCTGGTGTAAGCAGACAGGTCAGTCCATGGATGCTCTTGTCCAGCAGCATGCCCGCAATGTCAGTGCAATCCAAGGGAAATATGAAGCGTCCTTACAGGAGGAGCGCCTGAACTTCACACAAACGGTGTCCACTCTCCGGAAGGAGAACCAAACACTAAATAGTGAGATCAGCAAACGTGTGAAACAGCTCTCCCAGCAGCAGGAGCAGCTGGCTCTCCTGGAGGTGCGTTATCAGAAGGAAACTGAAGAGCTGAAGCAGAGGCACAAGCAAGAGCTAAGCCAAGCCGAGAAAGGCCGTGCCTCAACAGAATTGGCACTCATGGAAACAACCGCTGACAGTCAACGAAAGGTAGAGGTTCTGCTGGTGGACATGGACACCATGGAGGAGCGGCATGAGAGTCATGTGAGAAAACTAGAGGATCAGTTTGAACAGAAGATATGTGAGCTCCAGCATATCCACAAAGAGGAGATTGAAAAGTTACATTCCCAGTATATGGAAAACATTCACCGTGTCAAAGAGTACCAGCAGGACAAAACCGGTTATGAGGTTTCAAATTCACCTCCCTGTATCGAGGCCACTACACCAATGGAGGAGGAGGAGCAGGGAAAAGGGGAGGATGTACCGAACATGTCGGAGGTGGACTCCATGGTGGTTCTGAAAGATCGGATCCAGGAGCTGGAGACTCAGATGAACACCATGAGGGACGAACTGGAGAACAAGCACCTAGAAGGAGATGTGGCCAGCCTGAGAGAGAAATACCAGAGAGACTTTGAAAGTCTTAAGGTTTTTGCTCTTCCATTTTATCTTAGTGAATTCTTTTTTTTACTGAGAGAGTAATAGAAATAGCGTAAAAATAACCTGCTACTTTTGTTCAGTGGTCTGCTTATATGCACAAAGGATTTGGAGTTGGGAAATGGTGTGATTTGAGAATTTCATTTGCAGATTTGTGAGACCTGTAATCTAGATAACATCCGTTTTCTTGAAAATTGAAATTGTAGCTTTGAGGGATGTCCCAATCTTATATATATAATTTTTTTTTTCTAAAAGCCGTATGTACTAACGTCTCATAAAAATTCTGAATGTATTTTTAGCAATGCCAGCAGCATGGCTCTAGGGATGGCAAGGTTGGTTGATTAGCTCACCACGTTTAATCCAAAGCAATGGAGAAATTAGTGTCAGTGTGGCTCTGTTGTGGACAAGATTTAGACTCTCACATCTATTCTCGAGTATGATGAAAAAGTTCTAATTGATAGCCGAACTTGAGAAATGTTGCTAAAATACAGACAAACCAATGTTTTTAGCATCACTTGGTGATAACTATTGACATATCATTAGTTGAAACTGCAGGCTGCTTTGCACTCTGTGGTTCATGACTTTGGGCACTTTGAGCAAAACACAAGATCCAAAATGACTCAAATGATAAACGCAGGAAATACCGATGCACAAAAAAAATTGCTAATCAGGTTGGGACATCCCTAGTTGTACATATTGAAGCAAAGTAATCAATGGCAGGTTGCCTTAAGTATATCCAGACAATAATAAGTGTAAAATGTCTCACTTGCCTCCAACATTGCTTCTTAATTTGGCCATCAATAGACATGCCATTTCCCACATTCAATAAAACAAGGAAGTGCAGTCTATTAATAACAGAAATGCTGCTTCGCTGGAATAGAATTTCACTGCTTTAGCTCGCTGATCTAACATAGCTGCACTTTGAATTAGAAAAGGCTTGCATGGCTTCTATCTCTGATTTTGCACACATGTACCCTAGTGAACTATTAATAGATACTGCACTGAATCTATAGTCACAAATTGAAATGTAGATACAAAATAAATTTTGTGATGACAGATTGTTGACCCTTTCTTCCCATAGGCCACGTGTGAACGTGGCTTTGCAGCAATGGAAGAAACACACCACAAAGTAATACAAGACCTCCAGAGGCAGCATCAGAGGGAGATTTCCAAACTTATGGAAGAGCGAGAGAGACTGTTGGCTGAGGAGACTGCTGCCACAATTGCTGGTAAAGAAATGAACTGTATTACCACCCGTAACTGCTATACTTCAATGAAGACGGACACACACTAATTAAATGTGTGTGATCTGGTTTTAATGTAGCTATTGAAGCTATGAAGAATGCGCACAAGGAGGAAATGGAGAAGACCCACCGTTCCCAACTGAGTGGAGTGAACTCTGACATTGATGAACTTCGCTTACAATACGAGTATGTTTTTTTTTTTTTTTCACAAGAACACAAAAATGATTAAACATTTCAAATGAGAAGCATGATATTTACTTGCATGTTCACTTGACTTTTTATTTGATCTAAACAATCTATATAGCCTGTTAACTTTGTGTTGCAGTAAAGAAAACTACAACAACTTAGTCTAGTTAGCTTGTCCTGCCAAACAGCTTGTATGTGGCTGATAAACTGGAGCAACATTTCAAATGTTTATTTGGAAAATCATCAAATGATGAAAGGATCCACTCACACCTAGGCTTGGGAAAACTGGAATGCATTTCGTAAACATCAGATGAGAATAGCAGTTGATATTGTGATGATCTGACTGTTTAGGGAAGAGCTGCAGTCCATTCAGAGAGAACTGGAGGTGTTGTCAGAGCAGTACTCTCAGAAATGTCTGGAGAATGCTCACCTGGCCCAGGCGCTAGAGGCCGAGAGGCAGGCCCTCAGGCAGTGTCAGAGAGAGAACCAGGAGCTAAATGCTCACAATCAGGTTTGAATGCACATAGACACACATGAACATACAAAAGCATTTCTGTCCAGCAGGTTAAAACATAACTTTATTCTGTCCAACAGGAATTAAATAACCGACTGACTGCAGAGATCACTCGGATGCGGTCCTGTTTCAGTGGTGAAACAGTGCTTTCACCACTTACCCAGGGCAAAGATGTGTATGAACTGGAGGTATGTGTAAACACACACAAAGACACGCATAATAAGGATTTGCTCTTTAATCTTACAGGTGTTTCACTCCGTCTTGTAGGTATTACTACGAATTAAGGAGTCAGAAATCCAGTATCTTAAACAGGAAATCCACTCTTTGAAAGACGAACTGCAGTCTGCTTTAAGGGTAAGCAAAACAAATCTTTATGTATTTCAAATAATTTAGTTGAAGGTATGTACGGGTATTGCTTTATCTTATAAAAAAAACTGAGCTGGCATCATTGATTTCATTACAACAGGACAAGAAATATGCCACAGACAAATATAAGGACATCTATACAGAGCTCAGTATTGTGAAAGCAAAGGCTGACTGCGATATCAGCAAACTGAAGGAGAAACTGCTCATTGCCACAGAAGCTTTAGGCGAGAGGACTGTCGATGGAACGGTCACATCCGGATATGGTAAATAGGAAATGTTAACTTAATCATTTATTTACATGCCATTGAATTAACTCAAAATGTCTTTGGATCTCCAAAGTTTTGTATGTAATGAAGCCAGTCAGGAGTCATATACTGTAATGACAACCAGTTTTGTCACTGTTGTTTAAATTGGGGAATTCAAATGCATAGAATCACAAAAATTGATTACAGCTGTATTATTTCATCATGTGGATGAGCCACAGCCCTTCTGTAGCATCTCAGATTCAGTTTAACATCAACAACAACAAACCTTGTGTCTATAGTGAGCCTGCACTTGTATAACGCCGATTACGCCATATATTAAAATCACATTGCTTGTAAACTTTTCAGAAGGTATTGCTAACGGTAACAAACACACAAAAATTTTTGTTTTGCCATTTATACATTTTCTATTTCTGGAAAAGACCAAAGAGCATCAGTCAGTTTTTGGAAGTTGTGGTGCCTCTTTTCTTTCCTCCAGCCACGGCCACCACAGCTGAAGGCAAAGCTTTTCCAGGAAAGTGGCCAGGAAAACTTCTTGCACCTTTTATAGCATCAATGTTGAGGTAGTTAAGGTCATTTAAGAGGTTGCCCCATCAGTCCTAACTTCTCTTGGAGCTGCTACTTGGATGGTATTTTTACCATTGTCCCATTCAGTGTTCATGTGATCTGAGCTAGCTTCATCATTCTCAGGCTCCAACTTTGAAAATGGCACAAAAACAAATTCCTCATCATCAGTAGTCTCAGGTACATTTAATTTCCAGAGCTGCTGTCAGCAAAACCATCCAATATCAAAGACGTAAAACCTGGCATAAAGGTTCTGCACCATCACGTTACTGTGACAGTAAGCTAATATAAACATTTTCATCATTGCTATCATTATTCATTGTAACAGTGAGACAAGAGTTTGGTAATGTGTCAGTGCGAGGGCTTGGTTGTTACACTTGGGTACACAGGTTAATAATAACAATGGCATACCTTCATTGTGTTTTTAGATATCATGAAATCAAAAAGTAATCCAGATATCCTGAAAAGGCAATCCAAGCAATCAAGAGCCATAAGGTCAAAGGTGAGTTTCAAGTTTAATTAAATCCTACCAAACCTACAAATGGAGTACGATCCATGCACTCTAAAGCTCCCGTTTCAGTTTCCTGTGTGGTGTGATGTTCAGGCTTTTGTCCTAGAGACTTTGTCACTGTTAATTGTTGCAGCTGCCCCACCACATTCTGTAGGAATGTGTTGCACAGTTGATCGGTCAGGACGTTTATACTGCAAGTCCTCTTGTCCTGTAAGTTTGTCATCTGTCTGTTTTGTCCATCAGTCTGTCACTGAACAGGTCTCATGGGATAGCTGACACTCCCATTGCGGGGTGATTCCTCTCCAACCCCCACCCCAAGATGTCCTGTAGGTATAGCATGATGTAGAGCAATGCATGCCCTCACCACCCTTGCATGATCTCCCCTCCTTGCACCCCTTCCTTTATGCCCTAACCTGCACCCTCAAAGCTGATTGTGGTGTCCACCCCTCAGTTGAATGTCACTGGTGTGAGTGTTAGCAGTTCCGAGAAGCAACCGTTTGCAAACTTTGTCCAAAAAACGTTTCTGGTTACATTCCTGATCCCATGCTGTATGCTTAAAAGAATAGAATTTTTAGCAATTCACGTCAGCCAGCAACCTAAAAGCTTAGCTTAATATGTTGCATCATATTTGTTTGATTATTACAAAAACCAAAGTGCAAAAAGAACGAATTGTAGTTTTACTGTGATTTAAACAAACAAGATGTAACATGCTAGCTAATGAGGTGCTGGTAGGCCGATATTTTTTTTCTAGGTAGCTGTTTCAGCATAGTCCATTGTAATATTTATGGATGTCACCCATGTATCTCTCCCCCCCCCCCCCAAAATTTACAGTAAGATGAAATGTAAGTTGTTTTGGTCCGCAATAGCAGTATGTGAATATCAGTGGACTAATAAACCACCTCATCAAATCATTATATAGAGAAATGAGAACACTCTTTACAACATATCTCATAAGTTCCAACATTGTTATTCTTAATTGAAAAACCCTTTCTGTAATTGTTGTTTTGTGTCTTTGTGACTGTCTGAATTTATTTGTGCATTGTGCGCACCAGTTGGTACTCTTGTGTGGCATGTCCATATTCCACTTTTTCCTGTAGATCTTACACTAAACTTAAAGAATGTCATCCAGAGCAGAAAAATGTCTGGGATTGGCAGCTGGCTAACGTAACTGTTTTGTGATGTCTGTGTTTTTGTTTTCTGTTTTTCTAATGCACTCCTTTGGCCACATGCACCCTTATGAGGGGCGGCTGTGGCTCAGGGGGTAGAGTGGGTTGGTCGTTAATCGGAAGGTTGGCGGTCCAATCCCGAATTGCCCCTGGCGGCTGTTCCGCCAGTGTATGAATGTGTGTGAATGTTAGTTTCTGTTTGAGCACTTATGCTCAGTGAATGAATGTGAGTGAATGCAGATGTAGTGTAAAAGCGGTTTGAGTGGTCGAAAAGACTAGAAAGGCGCTATACGAAGCATTTATAATCTATGAACAATAAATTACTTCCTCTTTCTTATTTCTAACAGAGCCTAAAAGAGGGACTAACTGTGCAGGAGCGTATGAAGCTGTTTGAGGCAAAAGATTCCAAAAAGATTTGATTTATCAAGAATCTGAAGTTTCTCTTCTCTTTCCTGACCTTGGTTTTTGGTCAGATTGCTATGGCCGCGCCAGCATCAGCTGAAGACTCTTATAGGAAATGAGAAATATCTGTCAAGGTCAATTCTAAACCTGGACCTGCTGCTTCAATGCCTCTGATAAGTTGTCATATTTTTGTTTTATTTTTTTTTTTATTAATAAAAAGCTGTTTTATTGAATCAAATCTATCCTGTGTAAGGTTTCTTTTAAAAATACATTAAAGTATAGTCTGTCAAGTTGGAGATGTTTCAAATAAGCTGTGAGAGGGATACATGACAGCATTTTTATTGATCCTCCATAATGCCAAAACAGACAGCAATACACAGTATGAATAATATATATTTCCCAGTATGAATTAAGTATCTGCTGTATTTTATTATTGTTACAGTTTCTATATTGCATAAATTGTAATGTGTTTAATGTTGCACCAGTTCTGTTGTACATAACTACTGGATATATGTAAGAATAAGGTTTGCTATTGATTGGTGGGGCATCTGCTGTACTATAACTAAGGTTTGATTGATAGTGGGAAAACAATGTGATGCTTAACTTGCTAACGTATGAGAGTTTCATAAAATGGAGTGTCTGTGTGTGAAGGGGGATAAGAGTTGTGGGATTGCACTTATCACTTGACTACTTGAGGAATCTTTTTTTTTTTTTTTATCATTTTATCTCAATTTGGTGTAGTGATTTCAAGTCTATTATTGCAGTGCAACCAAACACCCTGACTTCTGTCAAATTTAGTGAACAATTGTGACTTGTGATACTGGATTATTATTATTTTTTTTTAAGTTTCTTAAAACCTGAATTTGTGTTTGCTCAGTCTTGACTTTGGTGTGAGAATATCATCTCAAAAAAACAATTTAGGACTTTGCATGACTGTACAGTGTCATTGGAACTGCAGAATTATCATATTGCCTCAACTTCCTACTTTATGCTTTAGTGTGGAACTCGTAACACTAATGAGCTTTGCTTTGCAAGTCCTACTGTTTAGGTGTTAAAATGGTTTACTGTATGCCGCAGTCTTGAAGCACTTGGCCCAGTCCCTGACCTCTCACTGAAATCTAGTCGTGCCTCAACTGAGTGAAGAATATTAAATATCCATGAAACCTGTGCAGCTATGGATACACACTGAATAGTATTCAAACCACGCCTTGTGTATATATAATATGCCACATGGAAGAGTTCTGTGTTTTGTTTTAAACTTGTACCTTGCTCACTAGCTCTATATGAAATATATATGAATATTTTTTATTTTCATTTGAATGTATAGCTTCAAATAAATGAAGTGTTTGGAAATTTTGGGAGTATTTCTTTTGTGTTGTGTTTGTGTCCTGGAAAATTAGAAATCCACATATCGCACAAATTTAGCACTGGTGAATTGCGGTAAATGTTTTCTTTCAATTTTGTTGCTCCTTACTCACAAAAAGTTACTTGAGCCTAGAAAACTGTCCATTTGATGAGGTTATATAATGAGTCATCGCACCAACCAGGTCCAATGAGGAAATGGAGATTGCCAAGAAGCTAAACATAGATTTTCACTTAATTACAGTATCTCTAACAGAACAAACACTAGTAGTAACAGAAAAGAACAAAACACTAGTAAAGCAAGAGTCATTTTCACTGCTAGCTGAACATAGTATCATAGCTATTTAACACAGCATTTCTAAATTGTTTGTCACAAAAGCAAATCAGTTTGAATTTGTAAAAGTACAGTTTTGCACCAACTCACTTAAATACTACGTTGGCAGATTTGGAATTGGTTTCAGAGGTGTTAATTGAGGATGAAATAACCTGTCATACTTTTAAGTTTAGCCATATATTTAGTATGTTCTTTGTATTAATTGTGTCTTCATTTATATAAAAATTACCAACAACTTTAAAAGTTAGCAGTTGCTAGAATTAAGAGGAATTGTTTTCTTGGGAAATTCCTCACAGAAAAGACATTGCAAAGAAACATCACACACAACACTTGACAGGACAAGCCACAGAAAGGAAATTACAGTGAAATTGTAAGATGTCTAAATTTGTCATATAGAAACCAACTGCATACATCACAGAAACACTGCACACTACTCTTTAACATGCCACGGAAAGGCCCTCAGGAAAAATACCAAGCTGTATTGTAGGTGCACGTTCAACTTTTTATTAGGCAGCAATGATGGCAATGGTAACATGAAGTAACACAATATCTAGAAAAAGCCATGTCCAGTATAGTCATACTGTTAAAAATGTTTAACTCATTGTAACAACATAACTTGCCATTATATATTTTATTGGCTTATATTGTCATTCCTATCATAATTCCTGTAATTTCCCATTCAGTTGATTCGGGTTATTTTTAAATTTGTCAAGTTAATAAAAGCCTATAAATGAAAAGGTTACCAAAACAATGCACAATACACTTTGCACAGTCCAATAAAAGATCATTATGGGCATGTTAAAATTGTTAGCATTTGGTCTAGCCAATTAGCCGTGCCAACCCATCTTCTCCCCCTCTCCCTCCCTCCTCCTCCTCCTCCTCCTCATTGTTTTTTAAAGCATCGATCAGTTTGACCCAAAAAGCGTCCTGCTCTTGTGGTTCCACGGGCCACAGCAAGTAGGTCTTCTTATGTACGATCTTGCGTAAGCGTGTATAGAGAGACAGACAGTGCTCAGGTATCTCCTCCAAGAACACAAGCAGCAGGACATCACTGCCATCGCATAAAAGCCTCAGACTTGCCAGCTGAAACTCTATAGAGCACCACTCACTTCGCAGGAAGTGACGTGTCACCACACAGATGGTGTGGCGGGAGTTGTAAATGGCTGCCTCAATGTTCTCCAGAACCGCAGTACCGGGACGGAAGTCTCTGTGGTGGAGACACAGTCTGAGCCTCGGTGTACCAGCAACTGGCCTCTCTAGATTGGGCACCAGCTGTCGCATCACCCAGGCCTCATCCTTAGAGCTGTAGGAGATGAATGCATCATATTGGAATCTGGCCCCTGCTGCCCCCCTACGCCCACGTAGTTTTGCCCGGATGATGAGCAGTAGGTAGCGTAGAGCAGGGCCCTGTGTGTGCCAGGCCAGACACACACATACAAACAATATGTCCACCACACAGCAGGTGATGAAGAGAGTGAAGGAAACCTGTTCATAGGAGCAGGCCTTATCGTCAAACTGCCACAGGTAGGGAGATCTCCAGTTGTTGTCACACTGCAGGTTGTACAGGTAGGACACCTGGAGGGAATTTAACAGTAAAGATAAGACAATTGTATCATTTGAACTGTCAAAGAAAGCTATAGCCATGTACTTCTAGTTGATTTATAACATACATTAACACTTGTGAGTGTCTGCAGCTTCTACTACCTGTGTATGGTTGTTGTGGATGGCCCAGGTCTTGAACCAGGCATTATCACAGGTGCAGGTAAGTGGGTTTTCAGTGATGTCCAAAAAACGCAATCTGGAAACACACTCACACACCAAGGTAGACGGGTTATTACATTTAAATTCACACCAAATATTCACATGCCTGTACAAGTAAAGTAGACACAGTAGCAGTACATAAATTACAATTTGTTTGGTAATTCAACACATAATAAAGGATGCTGGCGGTAGCTTTAAAGTTACAGTACAGACTTGAGAGTGGTATCTTCTCATCTAACTCTTGGCATGAAAGCAAATTATTTCTCAAAATTTTAAACTATTCCTTTAAGCCTTTTGCAGGACATTTCAGTAGCTCCTCTACCTTGGCAGAGCGTCCAGCATTGTTTTGTCCACAGTGTGAAGGTGGTTGGACTGGACTTTGAGCATTTCCAGTGTATTATCTGGAGGCAGCAGGTTAGCAGGCAGAGCATCAAGGTCTGCCCTGTAAAGAGTCAGCCTCTTCAGCCTTTTCAGAGGGTACAATGCTGCACTCAGGTTGGTTGTTTTCATAACCACCCCAGCTATGTACAGGAATTTCAAATTGACCAGAGGAACGAAGGCGTCAGGATGGAAGTCAACCTTGATGCTGTGCCCGATGGCAACTGAGGTAAGTTGACGTTGGCCTTGGAAGAAATGTGGTCCAATGCTACCAATGCCTTGACCTCCGGGCCCCTGGTAGTTCATCTCCAGATACTCCAAAGTGGACATGGAAGATAGGCAGGTAAACAGATTAATACACACATTTTATCACTCTTCTTGAGAACTGGCTCTTACAATGTCATAAAATGTCATACTTCCAGAGAAGTAAGGTTGATGAAAGGAGTTTCATAGGATTTAAAATGGAGGCGGTTGTTGTACAGGATAAATTTCTTCAAATTCATCAGGCCAGATAGAATAGATGGTGTCAGCCTCTTGATGCGGTTCCCACTTAAGTCCAGGTATCTAATGGACAGATAGTTGTGTTAAATACTTGGACAATGAAGAAGGTTGAGGAAACATGAACGTACAAGCAGAGAATACTGAATACTTGAGCCTTGTCAGGTCTAGGAAGGAGCCTTCTTCGATGAAATCAATGATGTTTAAACTGAGGTTGAGCTTCGTCAGCCGCCTCAGCTTACTGAAGGGCTTCTTGGTGATGTATTTTAGCAGGTTGAACTGCAGATAGAGCTGCTCAAGCTGAGTAAGGGCACTAAATACCTTTGCTGTCAACTCCGTGATTTCATTTTTCGGGAGAGACAGGCAAGTCAGCTTCTTCAGAGGGACAAACCAGTCGGGATCAATGTCACGAATTTTGCTCTTGTCGAAGCTTAAAAACGTGAGCTGGGTCAGGTCTTTGAATGCGTCCCGCAGAATAACAACCTTATTTTGATTCAGCTGCAGTGTTTTCAGTCCTTGGTAACCATCAAACGTGGTACGAGATATCCGCTCCAACCCACAGTTGATGAGATAAAGTCTGCTTGTATTGCTCCTCTCCAGCGACAACTTGGTAACAACTCCAAGGTTTGCATCTGCAATAACGACCATAGGTGGAGTGGCACAGTCCAGCAGGCTGGAGTTGGTCCGAGGTAACCTGGATCCTTTCAAGTCAACCTGTATCAAATCCAATACACATAATATTTCTTTTAAACACATAAAAATCCATAGATTTTGAATAAGGTAAGTTATGCTGCATCACAACAAGTGCACATACCTCTAGCCTCTTAAGATGGTCCATTCCTTTTAGCAATCCACAAATAGTAAATAGAGATTTCTCCACAAACAGAGAAAATGCCACCCTATAGAGATTCTTCTTTGTCTCCGCAGAGAGTCCCACCAGCACTTCTGCTTTAACTCCCTGACAAAGCAGACTCTTCAGCCTGGGATTAGAGGCAAAAACATCTGCCTGCAACTCCAGCTTTGAGTTGTTGGACAGTCTGATGTACTCAAGGGCAGGGAAACAGCTCACATTAACCCTCTGAATGTTGTTTGCGAAAAGATCGAGCTGCTGAAGAGTGGAGGATCCACCAGACTCTCCACAGCTGAAAGCTTTGAGCTTGTTCAGAGAAAGAACAACTTCTTGAATCGCTGGGAGGGCATTAAAGATACCTGGAGAGATTGTTGCAAGTATGTTTTGGCTCAGAAGCAGGGTTTTCAACCTGGTGAGTCCATTAAAAGCATTGGAGTGGATGTATGAAATGTTATTGCAGCTGAGGTTGAGAACATTCAGGACATCCAAGCCTCTGAATTCTCCTCCTGTTAGAGAAACCAGCTTGTTCTGGCTCAGGTTCAGTTGTTTGAGCCCCTCCACATGACTGAATGATCCAGGTGGGATGACTCTGATGTTGTTCTTGCACAGGTTGATTGTTGTTATGTTGTCTGGCATCATTCTAATGACATCAGAGAGGTTAGCGATGTTCATGTTGAAGCACCACATGACATCTGTATTGGGGTAGTTCTGGGAGCAGCCTTTAAAGCCAAAACCACAGCAGGCCGACATTTGTAGCAGAAGCAGAAACAGGACAGATTGCGCCATCTTTACAAGACAGCTCCTGCACATAGGTCAGACCAAGGAAATCTAAAAATATGTTAAGATAGAAAAGGCAATGCATCAAGGGAAAGTGAAAAAAATATCTCACAAGATAGCTACACAGAAATGTTCTAAAGAGACAAAGCAGTTACACCTGCAATGGCTGCATTTTTGGACTCGGGGGGGCAAAGAAGTTGTGAACACAACACTGACATTTTAAGTTGATAGAATGAACTGCGGCTTATTTATACATCCAACTCTGTTTTTTGATTATACCAACTCATGAGGGAAATATCTGGAAAGCATACAGCATTGCCAGTGCGAGACTGAAAGCTTCGTCTTACTCACTTCTTCCACTCTAACTCCATACATTATATATTTAATCTAAAT